TGTCCCTGCAGGTTTATTCCAGCACAAAACCCCTCCGCATCGGCTACTACGAGACCGATTTCTTCACCATGCCCAGCCCGGCCATGAGGCGCGCCGTCCGTGAGACCAAGCAGCTCCTGGAGGAGGCCGGCCACACGGTAGGAGCCTCTCGGGGGGCTGCTCGGGCAGGGGGACGAGCCCATCCTGTGTATTTCGACTCATCTGCTGTTCCTCGAAGGGAGAACGTTGTTTGCATGGAATGATGGAGGTTTTCCTGAGGGCTCATCAGGAAATCCCCAGCCCGGCCCGGCCTGTCTCAAGCCCTCAATGGCTTCTCCCACACAGTGCCTGTGCCACTGAACCCCTCCCCACTGTCCTTCCAGCTGGTGCCCTTTGAACTCACAAACGTGGACTACGTGATCTTTAACTACTGCGTCAGGGGAATGTTTGCAGATGGAGGCAGCTCCTTTGTCAGGAAATTGTGAGTGTGGCCTGAAATGGTTTCGTGAGGTTCATGCCTGAGTATAAAAACCCTCCCTAGGGCCTGGCTGCCTTCTGGATACGGGCAGCAGATCTGCTGGGTGTAGGTGGTGGCTCTGGGGGRCTTAACATCAAGTGATTCAGCTGCACCTTGGGATTGTTACTAGCCTTGAAAGGAGGAGCTGATATCCCATAAATGTTGTGAGAATCAAGTGTTGCCCAGCAGAATGGGGCAAACCTCTTTGGGTTGGCCTGGGAAAAGCTGATCTACTGTGATTGCTGCTCAGCTAAATCYCCCTCTTTCCCTTTCAGCAAAGGGGAGATGGAGAAAAGCAGCATGGGGATGTTCTTCTGGGTGGCAAAGGCACCACACTGGCTGAAAACTCTCCTCTCCTGGATTGCTAAACCTTTCGTAAGGTCCATTTCTTTCTAGTGTAGACAGAGTTAAGCTGTATATGGTGAATAGCTTGTCTCCCRTTGCAATAAAGCTTTCTCGTGGAGCAATAACCAGGCATTGCTTYCTGGCTGTGCTCAGACACATCTCCAAACTGGAGGGATGCTATTTCTGTTCCTTCTCTCCCCTCTTTGGGGAAAATCCACAAGTCCTGCCTGAACACTGAGTAAACWGCTTGTATTTGTGACTGAGCTGTCTCAGAGGACAGAGCTGGGATTCTTATAAATTATTTTMCTTTTTWTTTTCACTTTCTCCTTCTCAGGTACCTCGATTGTCAAGTATCATAAGAAGCATGACAGAAAAGTGAGTACATMTGATTTTTTAAWTTTTTTAAAATTTGGTTTGCAGCAGTGTTTGTTGCATTATTGACACCACTGCAGCTGCACGTGTTTGAGAGAAAGCAAGGCAGAAAACACCAGGGTGGGATCAAACTTAGAGCAGTTTGTGTCAACACCATAATCCTGCTGGGTTTGTAAAACTTCCAGTTTTGAGGGTGGGAAAGAGAGCAGGGGTCACAGCCTTTTGCTTGGGAAAARGATGAAGCCTGTGGGAATGAAACACGATGTTGGCTTCAGCACTGGTTTGTGCATCCATCATGCCAAGAGGCAGGGACCCCATAAGGCAGAAGGAAGGTGTATGCACACAGAAGGATGCCTTTAATTGGGTTTGTTCCCTTTTACAGCACAGTGGATGAAGTCTGGAGCCTTCATCGTGAAATCGAGGTAAAGTATTGCAGTTTGGGATTAAATGGTTTTGGTTTGATTTCTCTTAGGGAGGAGGCAGATTCAGCACCCACTGAGGTCAGGACATGATCAGGTTGCTGGTGATGTGAGGTGGGAACTCACACTTAACAGATCTCACTTAGATGTGCAAGTTCTCAGAGTATTTAAAGATAAGGACAACACGTAGGCAAGTCCATGGTGCCAAACCAGACCTGAATTTTTGACACCTATAAAAATGTAGGCCATCAGACTTGCCTTAAATTCCCTTCTGGTTTTGCAAAGACCTATGCCCATGTCCCAGGTCACCCTGTGCCTGTGCACTCAGTCTTTCCCCACCTCCAGTTTACCAGGGAGAGGGTGCTTTGTAAGCCAGGAGGAATATTGTCCAGGCAGCAAAGGGTTTGTGGATCTTAGGAGGATCAGGCCTGTTGGCTGCCCCCAGGGAGGGGCCAAGAGCCCAGCTGGCAGCTGTGGGACAGTTCATCCACCCCACTGACACATCTCCCCTTCAGGACTTCTGCCACCAGTTCATTGGGCAGTGGAAGAAGCTGAATCTGGAYGTCATGCTCTGTCCCATGCTGGGGCCGGCTCTCGGCATCGGCTATCCTGCCAAGCTCTCAGGTAGGGAGGCCTTTGCCATGGCACTGTGCCCATATCCATGAGCAGAATTCCTCCTCCCTCCCACCCTCGGGGTGCTGGCCAGCAGCAGGAAGAGCTCAGCTCTTGGGACAGCTGCAGCCCAGCCCGTGGGGTGTGCCTGGAGCACTCCCTGGTGTTGTGGGGCCAAAGGGCCGATGTCCATCCCTAAGCCCCTGAGTTCCCAGTACCAGTGCCCCATTAGCTGGGATCCCACCTACACAGAGGGGTGAAGGGTTTCCCTGGGCAGGCTGGCACTGCAAGCTCCCCCTCTCCTGCAGTGGCAGTCAGCTACACCATGCTCTACAAYGCCCTGGACTTCCCGGCCGGCGTGGTCCCCGTCACACTGGTGACAGACGAGGACGAGGAGGAGCTGAGGAACTACAAGGGATACTACCAGGACTGGTGGGACCGGACCCTGGTGAAGGTGAG